GACGATGACGGGCCAAGCGTTTAGCAGGCGGAGCAGAGGTGTCTCGCTCGGCATCTTCAACTTCATGCTGAAGATGCGCGCGCTGTAAAATACATACATGCTTGTGGAACCCGTCAATATCGGACCAGACCAGGAACTCGAGATCGACGAACGTCGCGATAGTCGGGTAGGCACGACAAGCTCGGCGAGCGGGGGAAGTCGAGCGGGTCCGAACGGCGCGCATCAGGGCGAGGCTCCAGGAGATCTTCTCGGGGTAGGTGGTGGCGCCAGTAGTCTCCAAACGGCCCATCAACGTTCGAGCGGCGAGCCGCAGGATGTCTTTCGTTTCCTCAAGCTGCGCCCAGGGATCCGAACTCAGAGAACCAGCCTCCAGAAACGCAGATTCACATTCGGCGGGGTAGTCGGGATGTTTGGAGACCCATCTTGGCGGGATGTAAACCTCGGGGGATCCTCGGAGCTTGGGGGCGAAGGCGAGACAGACGGGGATGTGGTCCGACAACGACGTGCGATCCGTGACGTTTCCGATGGTCATGGCGCTGGTCTTCAGGTCGAGAATTTCAGCGGTGTACATGCTACAAAGGATGCGATCGAGCCGAGCGACAGACGCGAGAACATCATCTTGAACAACGCGGTGGGTAGGCATCTCTTGCATCACTTCAGCGTAAGCGGTAAACAGCTGGGCCGAATGCCTGACAATGTCAGGCTTGGTCGGAACGAGCCGGCCAGAAAGGTGCTGTGAGCCTTCGCCTTCCAAGCAGAAGTTCCAGTCGCCTGCAGTGCTACTGAGCGCTTGACAAGGTGGGAGAAGAGCGCGAGCAACCTGGGAGAGGAAGACCTTCTGAGCGGGGGTTGGGATGGTGGGAGTGTTGTGAATGTTCATGATCTGGAGGGCGCCCTGTGAGCCGAAGAGAGAAATAAGCGAGGCGCGCCCTTGTCTGACCACGGTGTGGCGAATATACTGAAACTGGCGACAAAGCTGCTCGCTCGGGAGAATGACGCAGCCCCCTGCGTCCCTAGACTCAAAGAATGTGCCGAAACCGCGCGCGCCGTGAAGCTCGTGGAGGAGGAGGGCGAGTTCTTTCGGGGGGCCTCTGGTTTCTTGAAGACAAACCACTTGATGACGGGAAACAAGTCGTTTTACGAAGGCGATTTTCTTCCTGGCCAGGGAGTGGTCGGACCAAACAGAATTGAACAGGCGGTGAACGTTCCAGGAAACAGCAGAGAGCTTGTCAGAAATCACGAGAGGGAAATACGCCTTGGAGTCAAGGAGCTCGGAGGGGAGAGGGTTATCGCCAGGGTCGGAGTCGGATGAGGAAGAGGACGAAGAGGTGGAAGAAGAAGAGCTGCTTCTGTCTGCAAATTCATGGGCAGGATGAGAGACGCGCCCCACGCGTCTGTCCCTGCATACCCTGCATGGCCGTGCCATGCCCAACATGCTGGCGTGGTCCCTCGCGTGCGGGATAACTTCCTAGCCGAGAGCGGAGGCGGCGACCTTGTCGGCGGCGACCCGATCGATCCCAAAGGTCTGGAGGCCCTCGTACTTCAGCTCGAAGCTGTAGGAGTCTTCGCCGACGTCCACGAGCGACGCGAGCACCTCGACGTCGTCCTGGGCGAAGAGGATGAAAAGGATGCCCCGCGGGCCGTCGCGCCCGAGACGGTAGCCTTCTTTCCAAAGGTTGTTGTCCTTCATGTGGGTAATGAGGGCTTGCCAGAGACGACCGAGGGCTTTGTGGCGAGCGCGAACTTCAGCACTGGCGTCGAGGCGGCATCTCATGGGAACGGCGATCTTGGTGCGCGGGTCGATCCATTCAACGCCGTTGTTTTTCATCTGCTGGACGGTGTCGCTGGCGATCTCGGACGACGCGAAGCGGATGGAGTAGCGCATCTGCATGTTCTTGGCGGAGACCTCGGCCCCCACGGAATAGGCGGGTGGTAGCCGAGAAAGGGCGAGTTTGGCATGGGCTTGCATGACGGAGCCAAGAACACGGCGAGGGAAGCCACCGAACCAGACGCGGCATTTGTCTGCATCCTGGCTGGCGGTCATCGGGGACGGGTGATCGCTGCCAACTGCACGTCGCTTGAGGCTGCCCGCGGTGGAGAACGAGTTGACGGAGGAAGGGCTGGAGCGAGCGCGCGATGCTGCTGTCGAAGCTGCTTGTTCACAGGCTTGCAAGCGGGCCTCGAGCTTTGTGAGAATGGCTGCTTCCACTGCAGCGGTGATCTTCTCGGAGGTGCCAATTTCGATCGACGCGATGCGAGTCTCCAGCGCGGTGAAATGCTCGTCGTGCGAGTCGAGTCGATGCTGCAGCTGCTGCATGTCCTCGCGGGTGCAGACGGTCGAGAGCTTGTTGTCCATGTTGCTGAGAAGCGCCATCAGGTTGGAGTCGTCGCCTGGCATGGTGCGAGCGGCAGCATCAGGTTGGCGAGAGGAGCGTCCCCTCGGAGAGGAAACCACAGACACGGGAGCACTGAGGAAACCACTCAAGTCCTCGTCTTCACCAGTCGGGGTGGGCGTGCCTTCCTGGTCGAGCTGCGCGGCATCAGCTGGAGTGCCATTGGCGGGCGATCCTGGGGCGGTCTGAGACATGGGCACGAGAGGAACACAGCCAGCCTCTGAGCTGGCAAGGCACGAAAACTTGACAGAAGCCTCCGGAGGGGCTTCAAAGCTAATCGCTGGTTCTCGCGCGTCGATAGCCCTTCACAACGTTTAGCCTTAAGCCAAAATGGCTACGGAGGATGAGAAGGAGGAGGAGGAGGAGGAGGAGGAGGAGGAGGAGGAGGAGGAGGAGGAAAAGGAGGAGGAGGAGGAGGAGGAGGAGGAGGAGGAGGAGAACGAGGAGGAGAAGGAGGAGGAGCGCACTGCAATACTGTGGGGTTCACGTTTCCCAGGCCCTCCTTCGCCTGGGCTGCCATCTCCTGCGCCCCGCGCAACCTCTTCTGCAGGGACCTATTCAGCTCCCGGACGTTGTCGCGCTCCTCGGTCACCGACTGCAGCTCGCGCCTCGCGTTCTCGAGCTCCTCCGAGGAGCCCCTCCAAACTCCAGGGATCCAGGCACTGACTCCTCACAACAACCTTTTCCTGCTCCCTCGGCCCTCATCTCCTCCCGCTCCTCTCCCTCGGGCTCCTCCACATCCCCGTCGTTCTGCTCTTCCCCCATCAAGTCTCGAGCAGGCGTGCTTGCCACCTTGCTGGCTATGGCCGCGGGGGGCGTTTTCAATCCGCCCGTCCGAGGCCAGCTCGTCAGCGGCGTGCCCTGCGCTCCTGGGGGGGTTTTGCGTTCCTCGCAGGGTGCGCCCCTGCCCCGCCCCGCAAAGGGGGGGCGAGGGAGGGGGAGGACGGGGCAGGAGCAGGATGCAGGGGCCCTGGGACACACAAATAAATACACACAAATTAATCTATTCCCCATCTGTTATCACATTTTCTTGGTTTTCGTCTTCCCCCCCACTTCCCATATCTTCCCATATTTTCTGGGAGAATCGACGATTCATTGTGTCTGTGTGCTTCTTTCCCTCCTGACAGGATTAGGAATCAAGTCAGCCAGGTCGAAGGAGTCAGCGGGCCCCGCCCAGTGGAACCAGTGGCGGTGCCAGTCATGATCAACCCTGCACATCTTAGTCTCGCTGGGCCCTGTCGGCTCGGCCGAGGACATTGTGGGTCAAATCAGCTCGAACTCGATGTATGCAATCTTTACCCGTGGGGATCGAGACGTGAACGCGCGGTATCTCCAACGCGCGCAGCTGTTCGTTTACACCTGCCCTACACCGCCCACAAGACCAGAGCATTAAACGGCGGTGCGCGTTCAGGAGGTGGTCTACTGCACGCAAGAGATACCTCGAGCAAGAGTGACCTTGGGTGCGCGGCCTTATGGGGTGCGGGGGCGCCACTTCCAAGCGCGATGGCCAGTTCTGGGGCCATTCTGGCGAAAGGCCATTCCTACGCTTAGCCGAAGTGAAGGGGTGACGCCAGCCCCCCCGGGGAGAGCGAGAAGGGCTGGAGGCTCGGTTGTGAACCCCTCTAGGCAGCAGCAGTAAGAGTTTTCCCCTGCTTGGTCGATCGCTTGTCGCTTTTTTGCTGTTGCTTTCGGGCTCGTGCGGCAGCTGTGCGGCGGTCCGCTCCTGCGAAGCAAAGAGGGGGGATGGGGGCGGGGGAGGAGCAGGTGAACAGGTGACGGGGAAGCGTAAAGATGAAACGGGGGATGGAGGAAGAGTACGGTGGCGGGTGGGCCGGACTGGGGCAGCAGGTCGGGGTGGAATGCCATCGTGTGTATCCCCCTCCTCCTCCTCCTCCTTGTCTTCTTCTTCTTCTTCGTCGTCGTCTTCGCCGTCTTCTTCTTCTTCTTCATCCTCCTCCTCCTCATGCCCCTCGCCCCTCTCCACCCCATACCACCCTGGCACCATCTTGCTCCTCCTTCTCCTGTTCCTCCTCCTGCTCCTCCACCTCTTCTTTTTGCTCATCCTCCTCATCCTCCTTCTCCACCTGTGCCCAGCCTTGCCATGGGACAATGTGCGAGATGTCAATGTGGGAAGAGGGGGACCAGGCGGAGGATGTGGAGAAGGGAGAAGAGGAGGAGGAGGAAGAGGAGGAGGAGGAGGAGCAGGAGGAGGAGGGGGAGGAGGAGGAGGAGGAAGAGGAGGAGGAGGAGGAGGAGGAGGAGGAGGAGGAGGAGGAGTTGGACCAACGTACACCCAAGAGGAATCAAACTTGCGATACTGCATTCTGCCCTCGCGTCCCACGCTCCCTCCTCAGCAGTCTCTGGCCGCATTCTCTGCCCCTGCGCGAAAAACGCTCCCCTTGAACGACGAGCACTCCTATGATCCCGCAACTCCTCCGCCTCCTCCCTCTCCTCCTCCTCCTCCGCCTCCTCCCTCCTCCTGCTCCTCCCTCCTCCTCCGCCTCCCTCCCCTCCGCCTCCTCTCCTCCTCCTCCTCCTCCGCCTCCTCCTCCTCCTCCTCCTCCAGCACAGAAGCTCATTTATGAGTGGAGTGGTCCTCCACCCCCCGCGCACGAATGCGGGACGGGAAAATGACCACAGCCACTGCTTCTTGTTTGCGCCGCCTTCCAGCCGGCCGAAAAAGAAGCAGTGGTTGGGGTCATTTCCCTGGCGCCAAGCTTAACGAAACTTACCACAACCACTGCTTTGTTTCTGCTGGCTTGAAGGCGGCAACAGAAGAACAGCAATGGTTGTAGTCGTTTTCGCGTCCCGTAACGAAGGCATGCGACGAGGTGGGCCCATACCATGCAGTGACGCGCCCAATGGCAACCCCCGCTTTGGAAACGGGGCAACGCTCCATACCTGTGCAACCGTTGCGAAACCTCCAACGGCAACCAAACTTTGGGAACACGTCATCGCCCATCCTGGACACTCTTTGCGCAACTCTGTACAAATGGTAACTCAACAAGCACATAATTCAATCCAGAACCCACTTTTGAAGAGAGACTTGGCCTCCATCCGTGAATGTATTTGGTTACTTTAACGGAGTGTGCATGGCGCCACAAACGAGACCCCCATTCTGAAGACGGCTCTCCCTCCATCCATGTAACTGTTTGACTGTTTTAGGAACAGTATGCGCGGCGTCTAGGTGAAACACACAATGCCTCCCCTCCGTCTGTGTAACTGTTGGAGGTTTGACGCTTCAATGTAGTAATCGGTGACGACGTATCAAGCGACATGCCTTACCCGTCCGCATGGCACGCCTGGTGGTGCGACAGGGAAGAACTGCTCATCAAGGAAGGGAGGGACAGAGCAGACGAGAATAATGACGAGGATGAAGAGGACGAGGAAGAGGAGGATGGAAGCATAGAGAAATATATTACTGATGAGAGATGGTGCTGCTGATGATGCTCCCGCTCACATGGCCAAGAGGAAGCAGGACTGTGTATGAGGAGGCGGTTGATAAGGAAAGAGGGAGAGGATGAACAACAACGATAACGAAGAGGGATACGCAAGAAAGCGAGGTGGTTCACGATGGTGAGGACAAGGATGGGGACGTCAGGGGGAATCTTCCGCCATCTTGGATGGTATCGAACACAAACTCGGAATCCGCCGTTTGACTGCGTGAAACACCTCCTTGAAAGACGGATGCCCATGCGAGACTGCCATGCGGGCGCGGTACCCATCTTGAAAAAGGAAATGCCTCGAGGAACTCGAGGAGGTATACACATCAAGCCAACGGAATGATCAACGAGAGCCCCGTTTAGAGAAGGACTTGCCCTCCATCCTTGCCGCTGCTGCGCAATGTTGCACGACGTGTCGTGCAGTCCGAAGTTTCAAGCGGGAGCCCCTTGCTGAAAAGGATCCGTCCTTCATCCTTTTATAGCTGCTGCTCAGTTTTACACCGCGGGTTCTACATTATCAGGACGTCTCAAACCACGAGCAGTCCTCCGCCCGTGTGAAGCAAGAAACTGTCCAGACGCCTTGTGGCGAGAGCCTCACCTGATGAAGATAACTCGCCCCCCTCCATCCATGTAGCTGTTGAAGCTTTTTCAAACGACTGTGGGCGGCGCCAAGCGGCGGGAACCACATGTTGACGACCGTTCGCCCTCCATACTTGTGGCTGTCGGATGCTTTGAAGACGAGTGTGCGCGGCGCGGAGTCGAGAGCAACATTCTAAAAATCATTGTCCCTGCATCCTTGGCTGTTGAGATTCTTCTGCTTGGGATCATGAACGATGTGGAATTCTCAGGCGAGACGCCCGGCCCACCCTACTGACACGACTCGTGAGGCGACGAGGAGTTGTTCATAAGGAAGGGGGACTGAGGAGGGGGAGGAGGAGGAGGAGGAGGAGGAGGAGGAGGAGGAGGCGGAGGAGGAGTAGTAAGACAAGAAAGACACCGAAATTATGTCTGGACCGAATACGGCCCCTGAGAAGCAGAACTGCTCGAAACCTACCCGGACATTCGAATTTTGCTCCCCAGAGCCTGTGGGCGTTCTCATCCAATGTGATCTGGACCGTGACCGGCGAGCGATGCAGAGCGGCACCTGGCTGCTCAGCCTCCTGCAGTCTACTGCTGCAGAGGCCGCTACAAGTTTGGGTGCTGCTGGGCTGCCCGGTCGCCATTGCGCCCGGACAGGGCCAGCTGCCTACCGACTGGGCATTTGTGTCCGCTCACCCCAAAAAGCTTGGCTTCTGGGAGGCTTGAGCGAGACAGCAGCGGGAGAGGACGAGGCCAGCACAGGAGAGTCTGCGCACGCGTACAAAAACCCCAGTTACGTCCAGCTTCCAACTTGCACAACATATCCTACCGCACATAGCTCACACCACATATCTTACGCCGCATAGCTTGCACAATATAGCTTGAATCGCATAGCTTGCACCGCGCACTTCACGCCACACAGCCCACGCCACATTGCTTATACACAGCACAGCAAGCACCACGAAACTCGCGGAACATAGCCTACGCCACTCAACTCGCACTGCACAGCTCACACCGCATAGCTTCCACCCCCCGCAGTGCAACCGCTCGCTCTTTTTGTCGGTTGCTACTTCGTCCTCCTCCTCCTCCTCCTCCTCCTCGTCTCCCAGACGGTGGGCGACGACGTCGTCCTCGCCGCCGCCGCCGACGCAGAGAGGGGCTGGCACAACGCCGCTGCCCGCCTCGCGCCGGCGCGCCTCGCCCCCGTCTGCCAGGGCAGCGGCCCCGCCGCCGGCGCCACGGCCGCTCGCGGCCGCGGCCGCGGCGGCGCTGCCGTCCTCCGCGGCGGGGCCGCCGGGCTTCGTCTCCTCCCTCTTCCTCTCTCTTTTCTCCCTGTCCTCCCTCCCTCGCTCGCCTTCCTCCTCCGTCCTTTCCTTCTCCTCCTCCTCCTCCTCTTCCTCCTCTTTCTTCCTCCTCCTCCTTCTGTTTGCGTTGGACCAGCGTTGGCTGGCGCGAGTCCTCCTCCTCCTCCTCCTCCTCCTCCTCCTCCTCCTCCTAGATGTGCGTCTGGCGCTCCGCGCGAAGTTCTCCCTGCAGTGTCGCATCCGTCCTCCTCCTACTCCTCCTCCACTCCTGATCTGCATCCTCTGTTCGTTTCACGGCGCCCCGTGGCGCCCCAAGCAGTCACTATTTGTGAAGTGAGTTGCCTTGGTCTGGTATGGTGAGGTGCTTTATGGTGGTCGGTGGACACCCTTCTCCTCCTCCCTCTTACCCCACCCCTCTCTTTTCCTTCCTTTAATTATCCTTCTGCCCTCCTCCTCCCTCCTCCTCGCTCCTCATTCTCATTCCTAGTTTTTGCTTCCTCCTCCTCCTTCTTTCTCTTCCTTTCTCCTCTTCCCTCTTGCCTCCTTATTTTTCAATGGTTCTATCACTGCTCCTCCCAGTCCATGATCGCCCCGCCACCCGCCTCCTGGATCCTCTTCTGGGCGGGGCGAGGGACCGCGGCCTGGACAAGTGCTTACCCTTGGGCCGCGGGCGCTGACCACTGACACCTCTGTTGCTTCTCAACCGTCAGGCACGGCTGCCCGACTTCGCGGGGAAGGCCCATAGTGAAGGCCCCGCATCCGGTGGAATGAACTCGACGCGTGCGCAACGCGTGCGGAAGGTCCACTGCCTTCCTCAAAGTGGGGTGAAAACAGCGCAAGTACCTCCGGCTTCCTGGCTGCGGAGTACACGAGTACAGGACGCGCATCGCCACGCAGCCACCGATTGTAGGCCCCGCATCTGGTGCAATGAACTCTGCGTGCGTGCAGCGTGTCAGGAAGGGCCACTGCCTGCCTCAAACTTGGTTTTAGAACAGCGCAAGCGCCTCCAGCTTCTGGCTGCGGAAAACACGAGCACAGAGCGCGCACCGCCGCGCAACCACCGCCTGCCTCACATTGGGGTTGAACCGGCGCGAGCACCTCCAGCTTCCTGGCAGCGGAAAACGCGAGCACAAGACGCGCATCGCCGCGCAGCCACCAAATGTATGCCCCGCGTCTGGGTCAATGAACTCTGCGCGCGTGCAACGGGTCCGGAAGGTCCACTACCTGCCTCAAAATGGGGTTGAAACAGCGCAAGCACCTATAGCTTCCTGGCTGCAGAATGCACGAACACAGGACGCGCGTCGCCACGCAGTCACCGAGTGTAGGCCCCGCGTCCGGTGCAATGAACTCTGCGCGCGTGGGACGCGTGCAGAAGGTCCACTGCCTGCCTCGCATCGGGCTTAGATCGGCGCAAGCACCTCCAGCTTCCTGGCTGCGGAGAACACGAGCACATAGCGCGCACCGCAACGCAGCCACCGAGTGTGGGCCCCGCATCCGGTGCAATGAACTCTGCGCGCGTGCAACGTGTCAGGAAGGGCCACTGCCTGCCTCACATTGGGGTTGAAACAGCGCAAGCACCTCCAGCTTCCTGGCTGCGGAAAACGCGAGCACAAGACGCGCGTTGCCACGCAACCACCGAGTGTAGGCCTCGCATCCGGTGCAATGAACTCTACGCGCGTGAAACGCGTGCGGAAGGTCCACTACCTGCCTCGCATTGGGGTTGAAACAACGCAAGCACTCCAGCTTCCTGGCTGCGGAATACACAAACACAGGACGCGCATCGCCGCGCAGTCACCGAGTGTGGGTCCCGCGTCTGGTGCAATGAACTCTGTGCGCGTGCAACGCGGGCGGTAAGACAGCGCAAGCACCTCTGGCTTCCTAGCTGCGGAGAACACGAGCACAGCAGGACGCGCATAACCGCGCAGCCACCGAAGTGTAGGCCTCGCATCCGGTGCAATGAACTCTGCGCGCGTGCAACGCGTGTGGAAGGTCCACTACATGCCTCACATTGGGTTTGAAACAATGCGCGCACTTCCAGCTTCCTGGCTGCGGAGAACACGAGCACAGGACGCGCGTCGCCACGCAGCCACCGAGTGTAGGCCCCGCCTCCGGTGCAGTGAACGCTACGCGCGTGCAGCGCGTGCGGAAGGTCCACTGCCTGCCTCACATTGGGTTGCAACAGCATCAACACCTCCAGCTTCCTCGCTGCGGGATGCACGAGCACAGGACGCACATCGCAACGCAGCCACCGAGTGTAGGCCCCGCATCCAATGCAATGAACTCTACGCGCGTGCAACGCGTGCAGAAGGTCCACTGCCTGCCTCACATTGGGGTTGAAACAGCGCAAGCGCCTCCAGCTTCCTGGCTGCGGAATGCACGACCACAGGACGCGCGTTGCCACGCAGCCACCGAGGTGTAGGCCCCGCATCCGGTGCAATAAACTCTGCGCGCGTGCAACGCGTGCGGAAGGTCCACTACCTGCCGCATTGGGGTTGAAACAGCGCAAGTGCCTCCAGCTTCCTTGCCGCGGAAAACACGAGCACAGGACGCGCGTCGCCACGCAGCCACCGTCCAAATCACTCGGTGAGGGCGGCCACTGGAGAGAGACCACGAGCGGGCAGCGGATGGGTTGCGAGCAGTTTCTCTGGAAGGGCTCTTTAGCGTCGGGGGGGTCTGACAGGATTTCGATCATGCCTATTGCTACCAGAACGGCCTGCTAGGCGTCCCATCACACCTGTGCGTATCCTGGGGGGCCTCAGGGCGATGGCGTTTAGCCCCGTCTTTCCCGAGCTCGCCTGTTAGATCGTTGCCGCGCTGATGGCGGAGGGCTGTGCCTGAAAACTCTTCTCTCATGCGGGCCGTAACTTTTGTCAGACACCACTGGGGGGCCCGTGAACGATCGAGGGCGCGCCGTACTTCTGACGACGGACGGGCGCCGGAGACCGCCGTCCGAGGATCGCGGCATCCTCCCAGCAAGGCAGCGCAATCGATGTGCATTTTCAGAAATCGTCTGGAAATTGGAGCTCCTAGTTAAGCCCGAGGTGGGCTAAGCCAGACAGGGGGCCGCGCGCTTCACCGAAGGCCGCGCTCTGGCGAAGGAAGTCTGGCAAGTTCCCGAATGTCCCTTTCTCCAAAGTCGTCCGCGGAAAAAAAAACCGTCCAACTCTGGAAACGCACTCTCAGGTGCCTCTGGAGCAGGAGCCGTCGCTGTACAGAAACTCGTTCCTGTTGGAATGAGGCGGGGCACTGGGCCCCTACGGGCCTTTGTGGTGATCGATCCTTCCCAGGCAGGTTCATTCAAACAATCTGGAACTGGGGGCCGCGCGCTGTTGGTGCAAAAGTCATCTGGGTCTGCTGCCAAGCCTGCCTCTCCTCGGTCCTCGCAGAGATGCTCAACCCGCTGCGCGGCAATCTCCGGATATTGAGGGCATCTGTGCCCGGCACCGTCGATCGCACCGGTGCGGCAGAGCGGGCAGGTCGGCGCGATCTGGTAGCCCCACTCGTGCGCGTGGCTAGCCGTGATATAAGACCAGGTGAGCACTTGCTTCTTTGCGCGTTTGTGGTGTTTTGGCCGGTTGGGGTTCAGAAAAATCTCGGGGGCTCCTACAGGGCGCTCGTTTCGGGATCTCAAGCGCGCGCTCGTGTTCAGCCTTTCAACCTGCGCTGCCTGCTCTGGAGCGCGAGCTCCTTGCCTCGGCCCCTTGCGAAATGCTGCGAAACTGACGCATGCGGTATCTCAGTTGAAACGCAGAGAAGCCCCTCTCGCGGTCAAGATTCCGGGCCTTCGCATCGACCGCCCAGCTTTTTGCACCCGCGACAGAATCTCCGACAGGGCCCCAAGCGAGCGAATTCCAGGACGCTGTCAGGCCGAGTTCTTGAAAGCTACGAACTATGTTATCCAACTTAACGAGGTCCCCGACGGAGACGCAGTCGCGCGGCCTGAGGTTCGCGTAGGGGTCTGGCCAATGCTCCTTGACGAGGCGTGTCGAAGTTGTGCCTGCGCGCCGAAAGGGGTCTTCGTTCGTCTGGGGCGCCAGCGCCAAATTCGGATCAGTTCCGCGCGATGTCAATCCCAAAAATCCAGCTACCTGAGACCTCAGCTTCCTGGTCTCTCGCGCAGTCGACGCCCAGCCACCTCCCCCCCGTGCGTCGTGGCACAGTTGACTCCAGAAAACCATCCCTTGGCCCTGGATCTCTGAGGTCTCAAATTCACGAACTTGGCGAGTCTGGCCCCCTTTCCATCCCTCCTCTCGCTTGTCCTTTGCCCTCCGGACTGTCTTGCACATGTGAAGGGCAAAGTCCGCCCCCGGGTTGAGGGTTGTGAGACTGTGTTCGCCTATGTGCTTGCCGAGCTGGTCCCGCGCCGGCTCCGCTCGCTTCAGACCGGCGTCGACAATGGCGAACTCGTTGGAGGCAGAGCGCAAGT